AAAAATGTACGATTGTGTTTTATTGATGACATAGGAAATCAAACATAATGAGGGTTAATTATGTCATTAATTAATTAATGAGATAATTAATTAATAGATACAATAAACTGATTTGCAATCGATTTGCATAACTCCAGAACCACGCATCGTACGCTAAAAAGGATTGCAGAAACGTGATCAGAGCATGCCAAAACCTTTTTTTTTTAGGATTGGTGCAACTGATTCGCGGCATTCTGGCGCCGGTCTGAGCCTGGAATTCATGAGCCAGAACCGGCGAATCATCACTACTATTGAGTCCCATGTAATAGGGGGTAGGCCTATTGCCATATACCGGATTAAAAAGACCCAATAATACATTGCCCGACCTGGTAATCGAACCCGAGACCCCTTGCCCGGCAGTCTGCACTTGCGATCACACGGCCAACGAGGCAGTCAAATAATAGATGAATGAAAGTAAGAAAACCATTAAAATACACCTAGAACACGAAGCTCCTACATTATACCTTTCTACCTCGTCATTCATCACATAAAAACGTAATATACATATATTAAAGTAACTGCCTCGTTGTCCGAGTGTTCGTAAGTGCGACTGCCGACCAAGAGGTCTCGGGTTCGATTCCCGGGTCGGGCAAAGTATTACTGAGTTTTTAAAAATCTCAGTAGTAGCTCGGAGTCTGGAAATGTGCCCGGTATATGGCAATAGGCTCACCCCCTATTACATGGGACTCAACATAAATTGTGAAAAGTTGGCGTTACATTGTACAGTGGCATTAAGTGCCGAAATGTGCACCTCTGCTTAACCCCTTCGAGGATAAAAAAGGCGTGATGTTATGTATGTAACTATTTATATAGATTTAACTATAAATAACTGCCCCTGCAATATTATCTACCACTCCAAACTTTTTCAATCTCCATTCCATTGTCCCTAGTTTAAAACATGAGTCATTTGTTTGTGCACAGAAATGTATTTTTTTTATTTATTTATTTATTCAAATAGGTATACCAACAGCTTCTGTATACATAGCATTAAGTGATTTGAAAGTAACATTAAGTATTTAGGCTTATACAGTCGCCAATTATAGGTTAACCAACATGCAATTACTTAAGTGATAAAAAAAAACTATAAATACAAAAATGAACGAGAACAATAGAGTTTTAGTTACTAAAAAAGAAACTACTACGAACGAAATAAACATTCTTATTTTAGTGAACAAAAATTAAAGACTTTTAAATAGAACTTTATGAACCTTGGTTGTAACAAAATTAAACATTTAAAAAAGAAAAGAAATAAAGCATGTTTCATAAAAATTTAAACGTTAATAAATAGAGGTATATTAAGCTAAGATATGAACAGAAATGTATGAACAATACGTAAAACAAATGTTCAGAAACTTGATAACATATTCATTGCATTACCTTTACTGCTTGTAATTGAGAAAACATAAGGAACAAGGCATATATTTTTTCTAATAGGGTAGTATCCTAAATTATGTTTTAACTAGCTTCTGCCCGCGACTTCGTACGCGCATTCCTGTTTTCTCCCATTCCCGTAAGATTTTCAAGATTTTTTTTGTCGTAAGAACCTTCTTCTGACTATTAATAACAAATACAACAAAAAAAGATCAGCCAAATCGGTCTAGCCGTTCTTAAGGTATGGCGTGACAAGGGGAAACGGGTTTCATTTTTATATATATAGATGTCCGTCTGGTAGATTATTTTAAAACATTAGACACGTATTTTTTAATTTTGTCGGATACGAACACAATGCTTAGATAAAAGGTATCAAAGTTTAGGAGTAGGAGCTAGCTACACACATCATCTTCGAGTATATAAAACGTTCACAAAAGTGACGTCACGCGATATTTGAAATCAATATGACGTCGTCGAAAATAATCGTCGGTATTTGTTTCCGTAAGTAAACAAAAAATACGTGTCTAATGTTTTTAAATAATCTACCAACCAAATCGAACTTCGAATAAAAATTACTCATCTACCCTATTACAATAATAACATTTAATCGTTCATTCAGCCTAGTATAACCATTCAGTTATTGTTACAACACTTATAAACGTTCCCATTCATATGATAATGGGGTATCAAAGTGATTTGATAGCCCTTTCGTATGAAACGAGATCTTTGCAATAGCCGCTCAATGGCCAGTAATACCTTTATCGGTTATGAGGTGAGGGGAGCTTTATTATATACGGGTATCTATAATAATCTGTACCCGTATTAAGTACTACTATTAGGTACCAAGTATCGTAAGGTTCCTACGGTTCCTTACTAATATTACAAATGAATGTGTGTTTATTTAAATTACCTCTACATTAGGTACATCAACAGCCTTTATCTAGGATTTATAATACAATTAGGTACCTTAAATAAATTAAAAACATTATACATACACATACATAACATCACGCCTTTTATCCTCGAAGGGGTAGGCAGAGGTGCACATTATACCACTGTACAATGTAACACCCACTTTTCACTATTTATGTTATGAGTCCCATGTAATAGGGGGTGAGCCTATTGCCATATACCGGGCACAGTTCCAGACTCCGTGCTACTACTGAGAATTTTTTAAAAACCCAGTAATACTTTGCCCGACCCGGGAATCGAACCCGAGACCCCTTACCCGGCAGTCGCAATTGCGACCACTCGGCCAACGAGGCAGTTAAAAACATTATCTCATAATATATAGCTATAATAAAGTAAAGATAAACTCAATGTAAAAAACGACTGAATAGGTAACAAGCCTACACTACAATAATTTAATTGTCTGATACCTTTTTTATTAATTAACGCCCTTCCTCTCTCCTACCAATTTAATGTTGCTGTGCCCGACAGGGTCCATAATTGTTACTCTAATTTTTTCTAACCAACTGTATGTGTACACTAGCTGTTGCCCGCGACTTCGTCCGCGTAGATTAATGACTTCTGACAGAATTCATCAGAATCAATTGTCCAATCAGTGCCCAAGTAAGATTTACCTATTGTGAAATGGGTATGAGTTATCGTAGTTTCAATAAATCAATAATCCCGCAGGGATCTTACCAGTACAGTGCCCGATCACGTAAGTTTTGAGTAATAAAAACTATTCTATCAACTATAAGTTCAGTGGTTAAGAGATAGAGAGTCCTGAGGCATTGACGCATAGTTCCCGTTCCCGTGGGATTTCTGTGATAAAAACTATCATACGTTACCCAGGTCCCAAATCATCGTTTTACCGAATGTAATCCAAAAAGATTCAATGATTCTAGATTCAATAGCTAAGAAGATTTATACAAACTCTCATTCCCTATTTTATCCGCATTAGGGGTGGAATTTATCAAAATTATTTCTAAGGAAATACCTATGTCATAGTAACTTTATGCATGCAAAGTCTCAGCCCGATCGGTTCAAAACTGGCAAAGTATCATACAAACTTTCACCCCCTATTTTACCCACTTTGGGGTGGAAATGATCAAAATCCTTACTTGGGGATGCCTACGTCATAATATCTACCGGCACGCCTAATTTCAACCTGATCGGTTTAAAATTGACAAAGTTTCATACAAATTTTCACCCCTATTTTACCCCCTCAGGGGTGAAAATGATCAAATTCTTTCTTAAAAGATGCTTACGTCATAATATCTACCGGCACGCCGAATTTCAACCCGATTGGTTTAAAATTGACAAAGTTTCATACAAACTTTCACCCCCTATTTTACCCCCTTGGGGGTGAAAATGATCAAAATCTTTTCTTAAAAGATGTTTACGTCATAATATCTACCGGCACTCCGAATTTCAACCCGATTGGTATAAAATTGACAAAGTTTCATACAAACTTTCACCCCCTATTTTACCCCCTTGGGGATGAAAATGATCAAAATTCTTTCTTAGGAGATGTTTAAGTCATAATATCTACCGACACGCTAAATTTCAACCCGATCGGTTTAAAATTGACAAAGTTTCATATAAACTTTCACCCCCTATTTTACCCCCTTGGGGGTGAAATGATCAAAATCCTTTCTGCCTACGTCATAATATCTATCTGCATGCCAAATTTCAGCCTGATCCGTCCAATGGTTTGGGCTGTGCGTTGATAGATCACTATGTCAGTCAGTCAGTCAGTCAGTCACCTTTGAATTTTATATATATAGATTATGGATGCAATAAATACATTACTTGATTACTTGAAATGCCTACTCCCGAGCAAAGCCTCTTCTCACACGGATTTTCATACCCTGTCATCATCCCTATTTTCTTTTATTATCTTAATGTAAACTTTGATTTCATCTTACATTCGACCAGTACCTATTGGGGACTGAATACAATATCAATTTACCGTTACGTATGTGTGAAGGGTAGGACGACTGAAGCTGTAATAGTAATGAGACAATATTGACTCATACTCATCTCGTTCCACACAGTTCCTTTGTAGTGAATAGCTAATGACACATCCGAACATCAGGGAAATTCTCATCTCATAAAACATCCAAATAATGTTGTTCATAAATAATATGACTCATTGAATAATCTGGTCTACAATTTAAGATTCACAAAAATACAGGACTGCACGGTTGGCGCGGTGGCTGGGTAATCGGCTGTCGCGAAACGTATAGAGGCTTCGATTCCCCCACGCATTAAGTCTTTGTGTGATCCACAAATTGTTGTTTTGGGTCTGGGTGTTATGTGTATGTGAACTTGTATGTTTGAAAACGCACCCCGGACACAGGAGAAAATTTTAGTGTGAGGCAATGTTTTTCAAAATAAAAAAGAAGACGAAAGAAAGAAAAAAAATCATTTATTCGACAGTAGGCACGCACACAGATACAAAAAAATACAACATTAAAAAAAAGAAAGGAACAAATAAATACACTTATTTATACAGATATAGAAAAAAAACACAAAGAAACGACAACGAAAAGATGTTTAACACACCAAACCATGATTTTCCAATTACTTAACTTTAAAGAAGTATTCCACTTCTGATCTCCATAATTGTTTGTGTTTAGCTGGCGAGCTGCACGGTGCTACGCTATGGCTGGTGGTGTGTGGCGTCGCGGTGCTGGTGGCGGCTGCACTGGCCGCCCTCGCCTGCTGGATCGCCCGCCGGAGGAACTCGCTTGCTCACAAACTTGGTAAGTACCTAGTTGTTGATTACGATGAATTGTTGGACATTAATAATGTTGGCAAAAGTACAAAAAATATAGTATACTGTTTCAAATGGTCATATTTTAGCCAGTATTTAACGATAGATTTGCTGCCATTCACACTGTAATTTTGCCACATTTCATATTGTGGAAGTCTTCAAATAATCACCTTAAATTGCTATTAATGACTATTCCCAAACCTGTAAAGTGTTGCAACGCAGATGTACGTGAGACACAATGTATTTTCTATTGTGTCTCATATATCAACAGACAAGAGATTAATCAATAGACCAACGCACAAAATTATTGAACATTCAAATTGAAAGAAGTAAAGTCGGTTAAAAATGCTATAACAATAGTCTTTTGTGCAGGAGGCAAGCGTGGTCCGGACAAGGCGCTGGTGTTCCAGCCCCCGCGCCGAGCGACTGCTGTCCGCTCCCCAGGCTCAGCCACCCACTACCTGCGCAAGTCCCCGTCACCGACTGCACCGCGCCCAGCGCCACCCACGCCGCAGACACCAGCTGTGAACCCTGCTACCACGGTAAGATATCACAGTAGTATAAAAAATGTAGTGTACTAACAAAATAGACTAGTTATATGATATAATATGTTACTCTCTCACCACCTAGATAAGCCATCAGAGGGTTACAACTGTCTTTTGCGAAAAAAGTAAAATAGACAATATATTACGGGAATGTCCGACTAGTTTCATACTCAATTGGAGCCTTTAAATACCTTTACATTGTCAATATTAATTTCTTGAAATTCTGTGCTTGTCTAGCCTACCGGTGGCAACAGCCCGCAGTCACCGCTGGCGCCCACCGAGCCGGCCCCACTCAGCAAGGAGCTCGCCGATGCTAATGCTACCGAGAAGACCAAGACTACTGAACCTGAGAGCAATGATGGACGACTTGGTGACCTGCACTTCAAGTTGCGGTAAGTGATAAACGAATTTAAATGAACGTAGATCTAAGCAAGACATTGTATTTTCTTTGGTTTTTTCTATTGTGTCACGTAACTCACGTATGCTGACAGCCAATAGGTTAATGCCTCCTGTGTTCTATAAACCTCATTTAGGATTTGGGAAACGCAGTTAGGTCATCGAAAATTAATTACATGTTGCTGTGCCGTAACTAATATCAATCATGGTAGCCAGTATCACACTAGATTAGTCAATTATGGGCATGTGAGATAGGTATTTGGTTTTACTTACATACATAGGTAGGGCAGGAATATTAGGTTAACTGCAATGAAATTTGGAAAGGACAACATTTTGATAGTCTGATTACATTATAAACACAAGGACAAAGGACTTACGATGCCATAGATATCACTTTATTATTTAAGGACGCTTGAAATATTATTTTATTTTTGCAAAAAGATGTACTACTTTAAAATATTAATATTTTTAAAACATTTTTTAGAACACGACCTTATATCTCACACAAATAAAGTATATAAGAGTTCAGCACGAGGACAAATCGATGTAGCAGTAACTCGCAGTAAAGCTACGCTGTGACGGTCGGTGACCTTTGTAAGTCGATATCGACATACCTTGGTACTTCAGAGGGCTATCCTGCAAGTCATATCAGATAGTTCCTAAGGGAGGTTGGAGGAAAAAGTCTATTAAATAATGACTTGGTCTTTTTTGTGCCAATAGTAGAAAGTATTATGAGTAGCTTACTGTGAAATAGATTCCTACATTACTTGAAGAAACGATTTTATCAGTTCTTGCTATCATAATTAGGGTCTTTTTAGTAGATTTACATTAACTTGATGCAAGCCGAGAAGTATATCTTTTGGGCTACAAAATGGGTTTGTATCAGGTAGGGAAATCTTCATAAAAAATAAATTATAGGTACGTTTAGTAGATATGTTTTGTACTTTAAATAAAAATAGGGACAGTTGTAGCAAATAGTACGCACGCATCTACAGTCGAATCCGGGATTAGTAAAAACGATTTAGTGCGAGTTAAATCCACAAAGTATTTATTTTATTTGTATTTCATTATCAACAAAGTAAACAAAACCTTCATTTCAATTGAATTTGCAACGTATTGATTCGTAAGCGCGTTCATAATCTTGTTAAAACCGATCAATCACCATTCCCTAAGCCTATAAGTGGCATTTTTGCTAAACAACGTTTTAATAAAGTACGCAAAATGTTCGTAATTTATCAAAATACGTATTTTATTGGATAGGTTATTTTCGTGTCGAAGCGTGAGTTTGTTTGCTCAATGTGAAATATTAAATGAATATTCAATCTGGCTGGGCTCGCCTGGGAGCTAACATGATACTTGCGTCAAAATCTCATTTAAGAGAGATTTTTCTCGTTTAAATTATGTAATTGTTTTTCGACGTCTCAATTCAAGTGTGGTTTATTTCGAGAAGTTTATTTTGTGTAGGTAGTTTGTTAGGTAGGATTAAAGTTGTTTATTTTTCATTATGATGCTATCAGATTTATTTTATTTAGTCTTTTTAAATGATCACTACTTTGTGTAGTCTTTGAATGAAATCATAAATACTTAGTAGACGTTTATTGGACATATTCGTATCGTAGCTGTCTGGAAAAATGAACCATAGATTTCGCCTTACATCTTTGTATGTTGTATGGAATTCAAAGTCAAGTCAGAAACTTAAATCGATCCACATATGTTGGATTAAAATCTGTAATTAATTTAAATAGTCACGACAACCAAAGTTAAAGTCAAAATCATTTATTTCAATAAGACTAGGAAGATAGTTTTGAACGTCAACAAAAAATATAAAGTGAAGTTTGCATATTCCAAAGTGTTTTTTTTTTTTTTTTTTTTTTTAAGGGGGGAAAATCATCGAATGACTGCTCCCGCCTGGGTGAGGCGGAAGGGAGTGTCAGACTCTTACTGACTAAAAACCACCCCGTTCCTTCTCCTGCACGTCGAGCCGGAGCCCCGGTTACCCGTTAGGTTCTCCGCGACTCCGAATCGGCATCGGCCCTATTGGGCCCCATCTGTGGTGGTCTGATGGCTCTTTGAGGCGCGCGCGGAACGCGACGCGCCGTACGCTCGGGTCTGTTTCTGGTCGGACGGGGAGCCACCCATGCTCGCCGTCCGCAGGCCCGCGCTTACGGTGGCCGGAGATCGTCCCGCGATCCCCGACGCCCGGTGTGTCCTTCGCGATGGCTGGGTTGCGAGGAGGCAGCGCTTCGCTGCCTCACGCGTCCCGCCTCCTCCTTAGCCAGCATGACTGCTTCGCAAAAGGAGGAGACGGCATCCCAGTCCCCCTCGCTCCGCATCATGGCCTGAACTAGGCCCGGACGCGAGAGGTCTCCATCGCCGATCACTTCCCTGAGGGCACGGCGGTGCTCAGCCCACGCAGGGCATTCCGCAACAGTGTGTTCCACCGTGTCCTCAGGGTGGTCCTCGCAGTGATGACACCCGGGCGTTTCCTCCCGCCCCATCAGACACAGGTACCTCCCGAAACTTCCATGTCCGGTGAGGACCTGCGTCAGGCGGTAGGTGAGGACGCCGTAGCGTCTCTCAAGCCACTCCTCAAAGAGGGGACTTACCGCTGCAATGGCAGCGAGCCCAGCCCTCGGTTGCGACAGTCGTTGCTGCCATTCCGCCATGAGATCGCGCCGGAGCTCATCCCGCCACGCACTTATCTGGCGCGGCAGCGGAGTTTCGCCCCGGCGACGTGCCTCCGCGCGCATACGATACACGCGCGCGAGCACCTTCGCCTCCAGATCCCACGGCGGTAATCCGGCAAGGAGGTTCGCCGACTCCCCAGAGATCGTGCGGTATCCGCGGATCATTCGGATCGCCATGACCCTCTGTGCCATAAGCAGCGCCCGAGCGGGCCGCTGCAGCAGGTTCGGCGCCCAAACAGGGGCGCCGTAGAGGGCCATGGACCGCACGACCCCGGCGTATAACCTCCGGCAGGAGGCGTTTGGCCCCCCGAGGTTGGGGAGGATGCGCTTAAACGCAGCCCCCACCCTCGCCAACTTTGGAGCCAAACGTCGGAAGTGCTCCACGAAGTTCCATCGACTGTCGAGGACGAGTCCCAGGTACTTCATCGCTGTCTCGACGCCGATGGTAACCCCTCCCGCCATTATTTGAGACCCACCAGGAGGTGGCGCATTCCCGCGGCCATGAAAACACATGGCCTCGGACTTGTGGAGCGCCACCTCGAGTCCCAACTGCCGGATTCTCTCAACGACTGTCGCAACCGCTGTCGCCATTAAATCGGCCGCCGCCTGGTGCGACCTCCCGTGCGCTAGCACCAGCGTGTCGTCGGCGTAGCATATCATGCTAACGCCGTTCGGGAGGTCAGTGCGCAGCACCCAGTCATAACCGATGTTCCACAGGAGCGGCCCCAGAACCGAACCCTGTGGAACACCGCGTGACATCTCTCGCCGGTTCCACTCGCCCCGGTGACCGGGGTAGATGATGGACCTGTCCGTCAGGTATGCCTCGATTACACGACGGAGGTAGGTAGGCACCCGATGATATCGGAGTGCCTCCAAGATGCAGCTCCAGGGCAGGGAGTTGAAGGCGTTGGCGATGTCCAGAGACACCGCCACTACGACCTTACCCCTGGACACTGCAGTCCCCGTCGTCCGGTCCCTAACGCGCATGATGGCGTCCACCGTGGAGCGCCCTCTGCGGAAGCCGAACTGGCCGTCCGATAGGTCCGGCCCAATATCCGTCAGGTGCGCGACGAGGCGGTTCGAAATGATTCTTTCGAAGACTTTCCCCACCTCGTCGAGCAGCACTATGGGCCGATATTCCAAAGTGTAGATTCCTATGTAGAAGAACAAGCAAGAAACTCCATCGATTACTCTTTTTGAATCACGTACCTACAAAATTACCTACAGGATACTAAAAACATATAACACAACGTAATAAGTACAAAATAACAGCTATAACAACATAACATAACATCACGCCTTTTATCCCCGAAGAGGTAGGCAGAGGTGCACATTATGCCACTGTACTTACAATGTAACACCCACTTTTCACTATTTGTTATGAGTCCCATGTAATAGGGGGTGAACCTATTGCCATATACCGGGCACAATTCCGGACTCCGTGCTACTACTGAGAATTTTTCAAAACCCAGTAATACTTTGCCCGACCCGGGAATCGAACCCGAGACCCCTTGCCCGGCAGTCGCAATACTCTTACAGAGTATGGACATGACCGAGATAGGTCTGTAGTTATTAGGGTATAACTGAAATAAATACTGTTATACAAGTAAGTTACTAGTGGAAAATTCACCAAAACATAGGTGTAATTTCCACAGAGGACACATTGACACATCCCTCACTGTGGTTTGTGGTCGGGAGGGCGTTGAGGGAGGTTATTGATTCAAACCTCCCGATACCACAGACTAGCGTGACGATAATGTGTCGATACTTTGTAATGCATGGCACATCAACCTCATACAACACATTAATACATTTCCAACTACATACCCAAAGTCGTAAAGCTGAAAATGCATTGAACAGTTGAGGGTATCTTGATGTGATGGTGTCTTTTGGACAGGCAATCGATACTTTGAAATGCATGGCTCAAATGTACGGCACATCAAGTACACACACCATTTTAATACGTTTTCAACTATATCCCAAAAGACACAAAGTTGAAAATGCATTGGACACTACAATATAACTTGATGTGATGGTGTGCATACTTTTTGGCAATAAAGCACATCAAGCTACAACATACTATCAAATGAATTTTCAACTTTATTGTTGTGGTGTAAAGTCGAAAGTTTATTGAAGAGTGTAGTCGGTTAGGGGTAGTTTGTCTTGCCGCTATTAGTACTTCGTGACAGCCTGTTTACATGAGCGCCAGCGTAAGTGAGTATATGTATGTGCGCTGAAATTTTAATGGCGGCTTTCCCGCCATGTTAAGAACTTTTGTATCTATGTGTTTCTGCTTGTGAAGTTGTAAT